GAACGGAAGTAATAGGATGGAAGTAAGTGGCTGATGATGGAGGCGACAACACAAATGCTGACTGATTCAACATTTGAGGGCTCTGGAATGGACGGAGAGTTTGATCGGCCGAACCATTTGAGGATGCAGTAAACGGTAGTCGTTGTTGTTGTGGGGAGACAGAATAGAGGAGTTTGATAATGATGATGTGTTATTGTTTTGATCTGATGTTGTTGTTGGCATATTGACATTGTTACTATACAACTGGTTGTTGTTATTGATGTTGCTACTAGCCTGTTGTTGCTGCTGTTGTGGGGATGCTGAATTTACCAAATTCAAAATACTACCGACAAGGTTCAAAGCTTGTTGGTTGATGTTGTTGTTGAAATTGGTGTTGTTATTGATCATGGATTGTCCTTGTAATAAATTGTTAAGTAATTGTTGATTTCCTGTACCAGGGAGTGATGATTGTGCTGCCATCAGATAATTCATCTGGTGCAATAAGGGATTATTACTGTTATTTCCGCTTTGATTCATCAGCGTTTGCAGGCTGTTCCATAGGCTATTGTTTGTATTGCCATTAGTGTTCGTATGTGCAGTATTGTTTGTTGTGTTGTTTGTTGGTGATGATGATGAAAGCAAAGACAGGTTTTGTTGTTGATTGGTGGGCAGCATTCTTTTTAGTTCAGTTTGTGCTGTTGTTGTGCTCTTTTCAACCGGGAGCTCACGAGCAAAAACAGAGGAGCAAAATTGAATTCACTATCGAGCTCGAGAGAGTGCCAGCAAAAGGTTTCGTTCGGAGAGAGTGCAAAGTGAATGGCCTACTTCGGTCGGCGATTTTGGTGGCGATGATTTTTTTGTTTGGATGGAAATTATCAACCAAAACATTCTCGGTTCTCCAAATCAAGATAATTATTGATTTTCATCATTATCATAATAAAGGTTGGATCGAATCAGTACTTGTCTGCATAATACTCTCTTCCAACATTCAACAAACTGAATATCTTCCCTGTTCTAACATTATTGAGATCATCAGTTTTAAAAAATGAAAAATCTCTGGCTTGTCTTGCTGATTGTTCTTGTCGAGGCTTCTCTTCTTGTTTACGGAGAGGAACAACAACAACTCTCCTTCCACCAAAAGCACCCTTGCTACGTGAGAAAGGAAAGTGCTATTCGTAATAACATCAAGACTGCACAACCTCACACCTATTTGAAACCAGAAGATCTTCCTGCTTCTTGGGATTGGAGAAATATTGCTGGAGTGAATTATTTGTCTGTCGGAAGAAATCAACATATTCCAATTTATTGTGGTAGCTGTTGGGGTAAGTTTTGGTAGTTGTTTTAGACATGAATATTGAATTGATGATGTTCAATGTTGTGAATGATATATCAATAATTGTTGCGATTGCTGAACTATTTCATGATGATGTGATGGCGGACTTATTGTGAAAAAATCTTTCTCGCTCGAATATATTACTTGTTGCTGTCCCACCACAGCTCACGGCTCTACAAGTGCTCTTGCTGATAGAATCAACATTGCCAGAAAGAATCAATTCCCTCGTGCCTTGTTGTCAGTACAGCACGTTATTGCTTGTGGTGATGCTGGGTAAGTGTATACTTGACGGTTCATTTGTTGAAATATAATCTTAATAATTTTAATAGATCTTGTGGTATGTAAACGACTAATTTTTGACAAGCGAACGTCACATCAACATGCTATCAATAATAATCAATCTTATTTGAACCCGGTAAATCATTAGAGGGTGGTGATGATATTCGTATGTAGTTTTACTTTTTCAAGGTTGATTTTTTCACATTGATGCTTGTTCTTCCTTCTCTGGTCATTGTCATGGACATATTGAACTTTTAAACAGCCGTTTATCAATATGCTCACGATCACGGCATTCCTGACGAGTCATGCAATAACTACAAGGCTGTTGATCAGGATTGTTCTGCATTCGCCGAATGTGGTACTTGCAATTCAACCGGATGTTTCGCAATCAGAAATTACAACAGATGGAGAGTGAGCGAATATGGTAGCATTGACGGAGAACATGAAATGATGAGTGAAATCTATGCTAGAGGTCCAATCTCATGCGGTATCGATGCTACTAGCGCCTTGGAAGCCTATAAGGGTGGTATCTTTGAAGAGTTCAAAGTATTCCCAATGATTAATCACATCATTTCTGTTGTAGGATGGGGTGAGGAAGGCGGAAAGAAATACTGGATTGTTAGAAACTCATGGGGAACAGGTATGCAATTCGTTATTCTTTATGTTATCATTTTTAATAATGTTTTAACCTTTCAAATTATCCAAACTGTAAATGTTTTCAAAATGCACAATGATGGTCACTACCTTTCAACGTTGACAGAATGGGGTGAAGGTATGCAAATCATTATGATTGTTGTTATTTGGATTTTACCTTTTTTCGTATTTTTATTTTTTGTAAATGTTTACCTAAATGGCGAAATTTCACTACCTTTCAATGCCGGTGTTGGAATCATGATTTACAATAACAAAAACTACAACAGGTGGGTTCTTCCGTATTGTAAGAGGAACATCCAGATTCTACAACTTGGCCATTGAAACTCAATGTGCCTTTGCTGTTCCAATTGTTTAAATAAAAGCAATGCATCACACTTATTTATTGACAAGAGAGAGTGAACAATCTTGTATTATTGTAATGATCTCTCCTTTCTGCTTATCAATGCCCATCATTGCATTATTATTGCTATAATCAAGAACGATGACCATTTTGTAACGTGTTGCGACTCTCCTCAAGTGTACGCATTATTTCGTCTTTAACATCTCCTCCTTTTACAAATCTCAAGATGGAGTATATCCATTATTTCGAGCCTTAAACAAATTGGTGATGAGAGATGGATAACCCATGGTGTCGTTTTGTACGAAAATGGAGCTCATACTTGTCATTGGTTCACGCGTGCCAAATTCTTGGTTTGTCCATTTCGCACATCCATGAAGGTATTAACTGCAAAAGACATCATCATCATGACCGAACAACATCAAAAAACATCACGACAATCTCAATACTATGACCTCACAACTCAAACCACCCTCTAATGAAGATCTTGTAGACACGGACACTCTCTCAGGAACACCCACCAACGCACAGCTACAACCACACTTGGCCATTCCCAAATCGGTCGCCAATGAAAGTTTGGCACTCACTGGAACAAGCAATGCATCATCTGATTCGATTGGATCCAGTGGTGGAAGATTTCAAAGCAAATGAAAGACAAGATATTTTCCTTTCTTGTTGCTGTCAATTCAAAGCAAGCGAGTGTCACTTCATGGCAAACGACTCTCTTGTCCATGTTTCGAAATGCCTTTGTATTGTATGTGAGTATGGTTCTGTCATCAATTCCATCCACTCTGAATGAAGAGGAGAATGCAACATTAGCTCAACCACCACTCTGGGGAATCATTCCTTCATGGATTCATCGAGTCATGTTCTATCCCATTACGTTGGGTGCGGAACATTATTCGTATATGACCATTATTGTCTTGTCATCAGTATTTCTAGCGTTGGAATTATTCACTCTCTTCATGTATGCTGTTTTCTATCTGTTACACAGTAGGGGAAACAAGTATTGTGACAAGATCAAAAGAATCCTTATTCAACCACTCTCTCTATTCATGCTCGTGTTTACCAATTGGATGGTGTGGATTCATTGTGTGCCCATGTCATCAAGTTCCTCCTCTTCATCCTCTCATACCATTTCGAATGAATACTTTCCCTCCATCACTATGAATTCTACTCTCAATACTGCATTCATTGTGATTGGATGTGTGGGTGTAATTCTTAACATGATCTTGGTGAGTTTGGGAGTTTTAGTGATGGAGGAGACAGTTCCTCCCACACGCACTTCTCTCTCACTCTTTGGAATGTTTTCCCCAATGTTGGAGTGTGTATTCATCTTTTGAATCAAACATGTGTGGTGTTAAATGTTCTATTACATGTGAATCAGGCGATTTCAGCAAGTGCTGTGAAGTGTTTCTTGAGTTTCTTGGTTGCCGTGTACTTTCTGTATGGTTTACCTTATTACAAGACTTTTATCAATTCGTTGGTGTTTGGATGTTTGTGTGGTAAAACGTTGGGATGCCTTGGACCGATCATGGCCTCTGCTTTGATGAGAAATATCATTCAGCAACAAGAGCAACAACAAGAATACATTTCTCAGTTGGGAGGAATCATCACAGGAGTCACAATCGCTCTGCAAGCTTTGGGATTTGTTTTGGGAACTTTGAGTTGTGAATTGTATTTGAGATTTGGAGTGTTAAATGCGGTCAAAAGATTTATGACTCATCATCTCACAGACAAACACTCTGCCATTCAAATTTACAACACCTTTCAAGAAAACAAATCCATGAGAAAGCTCATTCTCTTTTAAGACTTTCCATCAGTGATGCTTTTTCATCCAAGCAAGACAATGCTCTGGAATGGGCTTTACAATTTCTGAAATTATGTGGCACCTCCAAATCGATCACAAATGTGGATTTTCTTCTCATTAGTGCTATTATAACAAGTTTTTACTCAACACAAGAAGAATTGTACTCGTCTCATTCATTGGCTCTCTCCATGCTTTTCCACGCAAAAAGAATAATCCATCTCTTGTGCAATCCTATTTTATTGTATTGAGAAGTAAGGAAATTGAGGCAAATGTGGAAAAATTTTCAATGATCAATGTCGATTTGAAACAAACCCTTCAATCTCTACAAAAGAAGCAACAGGCCATGACTTATTTTCACAAAGAATTATTTAAGGAATTGATTTCAGAGAATTGTTCCAAGAAAAAATTGAAAATTTGAACCGATCTTCCACCATTCTTGTTCAAGAATGTGACACTCTGTACAAATCTCTCATGCTGAAATATCGAAACGATACTTCCTTATTGAGATCAACTTTGATTCCTATCAAACAACAAGATGAGACAGTACTCCCACTCTATGAGAATGCGACCACGTCTATCAGTGCCTTTGTGGATCATATTCTCAATCAGGGAGATGACATTGCTCATGTCATGAGCAATGAAGATTTTGTGACATTTAACAAAACGAGAGCCAATTATCCACTTCTTTTCTTGTAAGTAGTATTTGAAATAATTATTGGGGATGTATGAAATACCTATTTCTTAAACTATCAAATGTTAATGATATACTTAATTCTAATCTTTTGCTTGGACACAACAGTTACCTTAATAGAAGAGAAATGACAACAGCATTTGATTTCTTTTGTACTTCTTATATAGCAAGTTCTAAGAGTGACATTAATCGTATTGGGGAAATCTTATTTGGAGTGTGTGGCTCACTATTAGGTCTCTATTTTATATTTTGTTTATTTTTCATTGTCATAATGCGCAATCACTTGTTACAATTTAACCAACTTGTAAAATTCACCACTCTTCCCAAAGATGAAACAGGAAAATTCTATCACCAATTGGAAAAAGAAATGACTGATCCTTTCAGAGAAAATTCTTCTCGTGTTACACCTTCCATTGTTTTCACACTTCTCACCATCATGACCATGTTATTCGTCTTTGCATCAAGCATTTGCCTTCTCATGGAATTCTATTCCAATGACATCAAAACATCATCCACCATGAATACTGTTAATTTGCTCAATACAGTCATGAGAACTTCCATGAGAGTCACTTTTCGATTATTGGAAATGGTTCGAAAAAGTAATCTCATGCTCCTCCCATGGAATGTGGTTCGAGACGACAATGCCGAGGAACTTATAAATTGCATATTGTGTTGGAAAGAAATTGTAGTAGGAGGAAATGAAACGAATTACAAATCACCGGTGAAAGGTCTGAGTTCAGAAATTGATTCGCTGTTGGTGGGAAATTCTTTGACCATTTGTCAAAAATTGTTGAACACTACTACCACCAATACCACGACTACTCTGAATGATTCAGTCAACAACAACAACATTTCACTCAATGACACTCTCACTCTTACTCACATCAAGTATGATTGTTTGGGAATGGACAAATTAGTGACCTCATTCATTGATACCTCCACAGAATATAATCATTACTTTTACAATGGATTTTATGATCAACAGACAGCTCTTCGTTTCTTCGTTTATATTTTAATGACATTTACTTTTTGGCTGTTTCACTCTCTGAGAAACTTTTTAAATTTATTTCTACCTATGTGAAAAGCGAACAACATCCACAACTGATCATGAGTATGTGCATTTTTGTGTCTTTTTGATCGTTGGTACTGTGTGTATGATTTGGAGTTATTCCTCTCTTTCTGCGTATTGGAATGAAGAACATCATCTGAGGAGAATGTTAAATTACCTTCATTGGGAAATTATTGACCAAAACGATCAGTTGAAACAGTTTGTGTTGAATCACAAAATTCCAAATCTATTTATTGAGCCATCCAGAAAATTCACCACAACGATTACAGAAAATTATTTCAGAAATGTCAGCTGCCAAAAATGCATTTTCTGAACTTTTGAAATTACTTGTTCGAGAAAGAATCGAAAGACATTCTCTGCAATCGTTTCTTTATCAATGAGTTTTTATAATCGAAAGACAAAGATTGCTTGTTTTGTGAAAGATATCACCAATGAAAAGAAACAAACCACTCTGATTGCAGATGAGAAGAAAAAGTGAAGAATTATTGTTAAATATTCTTCCATTACCTGTGGCAATTCGTCTCAAACAAGGAGAAACCTCCATTTGTGAAAAATTTAATGATGTGACAGTATTCTTTTCTGACATGTAAGCTTTATATATATGGAAGGTGAAACCTAATTAGAAACATTTTATTTGGTCATTGAATTATTTAACAACTTTAAATTACCATTGAAATATTCATTCATCCACAGGGTTGGATTTACTGTCATGAGTAGTATCATGTCACCCAATGAATTGATTGTTCTTCTCAATGACATTGTTCACAATTTTGATCATCTCACTGAAAAGTATTATATTGACAAGATTAAAACCATTGGAGATGCTTATTTTTGTGTTGCTGGTGCTCATGCTTCAAGAGCCAGTGATCACACTGAAAGAATGGTCAAGTTTGCCATTGACATTTTTGGTTTTCTTCATAATTTTAATAAGGACAAAGGTAAAAGATTAATCTAAGAATTGGCATTCACACAGGAGAGTGTGTTGGAGGAGTGATCGGTCACAAGAAATTTGCCTACGATTTGGTAAGTGTGATCTTTCATGTTGTTGTTGACTCATTCAAATGTTATTCTTCACATGAACTAGTGGGGAGATACCATCAACACAGCTTCAAGAATGGAAAGTACTGGTGTTCCAGGAAGAATTCAACTTTCGAGGACATCCTATGAAAGAGTATGGGAAAGTTATCAATTTGTAGAAAGAGAAGCAGTTTATGTTAAAGGTAAAGGAGAAATGAAGTGTTATTTACTTCATCAAAAGCATCACTTGCCTGCTTTGTGTGAAGAAAATGATGGAGTTGATTGTCGAAATGATTCATTAAAAGTTGATAATGGTGAGTTGGAAGTGAACGAATTAAGAAAAGACGAAGAAATTGTTCATTAAAACAATTCTCGCACCATTTTGGATGCTTAATTCTTTTTTTGAGTTGATTCAACCAACCATGATCGTAACCAATGTAATCCCATTCATCACAATAATCCTTCTTGTAGTCTTTGACCATTTGATTGAATGGTGTTTGGAACATCATAGTTTGGCGATTGTTGGCACTAAATCGAGGCCATGTCACAGCAGTTGAATTACCGTTTGGATTTCCATATTTCACAAAATTGGTAAAGTAATTAACCATGGAAATGGAGAGAATATCTTCTTCCGGACTGAAGTGCATGTCAGGCAATGTGTGAACACCTAGCGAATGGAAAACAAATGGCAATTCAGCTCCATGGCAAACATGTCCCACACAATAAGTGTACCTTATTTGTTTCATTAAGGTAATCATTTGTTGTTTTCAAAATAGATTTCAATATTTTAAATAATGAACAATCTATGATTCGTTTCAACTTACTTTGGTCCCCAAGCATCAAAAGTCAACACATGATTAAAAATATAATTATAAACTGGTAATTCAGGATTTTGAGTGGTAATTTGTGAGAGAACATTTCTTAATGAACACAGGAATATATAATCAGTTCCCATAATACTCAATTCTGGGCGTTTATCACCATCGAGAAGAGGACGATACCAATTCAACACTCTTGCTCCATCTTCAATACCAAAAACAGCATATAACAATGCCATATATTCCAATGTAGTCATCTTTTTTTACTTCCCATATAAATGAAAATGAGAGCTTCTTCTGCCACATTTCCAAAAATCATTGGAACTTTGTGATAATATCCTTTTTGTACAGCTGTTATGTAGTACCATGATTTGTGTTCAAGAATAAATTCAGGAGTGACATTGAGATTCACATGTGACATTCACAAATAACACATGGTTCAAATTATATATGGTAAATTTTTCAAAAACAAACTTTACAATTATTCCTAAATAATATTAAATTCACTTACCCTCAAAGGTTTGATAAGGAATCAACTTGTCAAAACTTGCTACAGTAGGAGCCCAAGGTAAAAATGTCTCCAAAGGAATTGACAAGTTCTTATAAGTGTCCAAAAATATTGAGCTTCCAAAATCGAATCAATCGACAATTTTTGAAAACATTCAAAATCACTCACATCACAATTCGCTTGTTTGGCAAAAGGAGTTGCCAAATTAATCGTCACATCGTCCATCAATCTCATGGGCAACACTAATGGATTACTTTCTACAATCACTTGATGGAAAAGTCCCTTACTTGCTGGACTAATTAAATGAGCAGTCGTTGATGTAGCTCCAGCAGATTGACCGCCAATGGTCACTCTTTTTGGATCTCCACCAAAAGCAGCAATATTGTTTTGCACCCATTTTAGAACTGTTAATTGATCCATAAATCCATAATTTCCAGACATTTGAGCTTTTGAATTAGCGAGCCAACCTAATGCTCCTAATCGATAACCAGCAATGATCATGATGATGGAAGTCTTGTTGGCAATGAAGGTACCATCGTAGAGAATGGAGTTTGGAGCTGCATGATCAATTTGAGAAGATGATGAAATTTCAATAAGAATTTCACCTGAATATAATGTTTGATAGGATCGATTACTTACTTCCTTGCTGCGTTGAGTGTTACGTATGCAGTTCGATTTTCCAAATTTAGAAATTAACAAATTTATCCAATTCAAGAAAAACAAAATCTTAATTTCCAAAAACAAACCATTCACCAACCACTCACCTCAAAATGACCACCAGGGGAAAACACATACACAGGTAACAATTCATTCTTTTTCATGGCTCCTAATCGTGGCGTATATAAATCCAAAAACAAACAATCTTCACTCTGTGTCTTGGGACATGTGTGAGGTGGTAATTCACATCGTTGTGGACATCCAGGTGTTTCGATCGTTGCATTGTAAATTCCTGAAAAAGCATCCAATGGTTGTGTGGGTTTCCATCGGAGAGAGTTCACTGGAGCTTTTGCATAACGAATGCCTGTGAATGCTCTTGCTGTGGCTTTGTATTCTGGAAATTGTGAAATAAATCCTTGATAGGTTCCTATGGGCGCTTTGACAATGACCTCATCATCAATGGCAGCGCATGTAATGACGTTGGTGGAATGAATGATGATGAAGAAGAGGAGGAACATGAGGATCGGTAGAACTCGATTGACAAGTGACTTGGTTTGTGACATTTTTTAAAAATGATGATTTTAATCTGAAATGTTGATGAATTTGATTCCAAAAACTAAAGAGCTCATGAAAAACACAGAAATTCAAAGTGTTTCGGTGCTGACGTGGACGTATGAACGACGGAGTGTTTAATGTCCATTATAATCTTTGTTTCTGAAAAGTTCCGAATAAGAATGTAGCTCTAATTGATTAAAGGTATTGAAACATATCATAATCGTGTTACTTTCTCGAGGGTGGTTTCTTGTTGTTGGCAGTTTTAGCAGCTTGTTTTCTCTTCTTTGGATCTTTCCAGTCTTTTCATAACTCTCCCAAATCTCATTAGGTTGTGTGATTGAGACTCCCATCGTTAGGTTTGACAAAGATGATGTACTGATATCGTTTTGAAGGTTATGACGTTCTTCTAATGAGTTTTTCATGAGTGCTTTGAGCTCGTCTCCTGACTTGGCAGAGTCATCATCTTCAGGTATTGGAACAGGTAGTGTAAACCCTCTTTCCCATAAGATGTTGAAATTTGCAAATAAAATTCCAAGCAAATCTCTCGATAACTCAATCTTGTTGGAATCATCGTCATCTTGAATATTGGCAACAATTCGATATACGTAAAAGCTTATGGGTTCTTTATGTTATTAACAAGTAACAGATAAATTGCTCTTAGAATGAACAGTCCCTAAAAAATACTTACTCTCAATATGATGCTTCACTCCAAGAGATTTTTCAGAAATATGAAATTCAAAGGTATCCTTAAAATCAATGGACACAATCCTCGAGTTTGTTTTTGGATCAGGATCAGGTAAATAGACAGGACTACTTTCAATAAAGGCGGTTTCATCTTTTTCGTCCTCTTTGGGCCAAGAAAACCTTACAATGTAATAAATACTCTTGAAAAATGTAATTTCACTGGGTTTCTTGGCGTTTGGAGCTTTCTTTTACTCGCGGACGGTATTCTTTTGATGGGCGTTTTCTTTCCATTCTTATCGTTGGCAGAGGCATTTTCATCTTCAATTAATTTGATTTCTTCATCAAAATTAACTCCACTCAATGATGCTAATGTCACAACAAGTTTTGTTTCTACCGAATATTGTCATGACATGTTAATTAGATAAAAATCAAATGACTCCCACTTACTCTTTTCGTTTGAGAAACCGTGAAATAAGTCAATATATCTTTTCCTGGTCTCCTCTGTAAAATTTTCGTTATCTAGTGTTTCAATCTTTGGTAAAGATGAGAACACCGCTCCTCTATAATGCTCGAGCATGCAAAAGCAGTTTCCTTGCAAATTTAGAGTTTTCAAATTCGGAACTTTGGTCAGCGATTGAATTGATTTTTCCAAACTTGTTAAATCGTTAAAACTAACATCCAGAGAAGCCAAGTATGGACATTCCTCAATAAACTCTAAATTATTTAATCTATTGTAGCCCAGACCGAGATGAACAATGTTTGGAAACGTTTTTAAGGGAACAACTTTTGAAATGGAGTTCGAATATGCATTGAGGCCATACAATTGCTGCGGAAGGAATTTGATTGAGTCAATCTTATTGAATGACAGACTTAGTATTTCTAGAAACTTGCAATAATTTACAAACTCGGAATCGATCTCAGTAATTTTACAGGAAGACAAATTAATATCTCGAAAATATTTCGAGCATATTGAGCTCAACGAAAAATCTCTTGATACTGTGGTTGCTACGTTAAATAGTAATTCGCTTCATTGAGCAGAAAATCATATTTGTTTAAACAGACACACATCACTTCATAAATAATATCATTTGTCAACATGACTACTTACTCAATTGGTTTTGGCTCTCGCAGTGCTTTGCTTGCTTCCAGTTGTTTTTTGATATTGTACTCAATAGAGCCAAACATGTCAGCTTTAATGGTATATGCTGCGTTTGAACTCCAATTTCCTTCATCTTTCAGATTTAAATATTAAAAATTAAAATTAATTTTTCAATATATTAAAATCAATTCCTTCCTTCAGTAAAAATATGATCCGAAACGTACTATCTAATTTCTCCAATCTTGGAATAATCTCTTCGTCTTGTAAATTCAATTTTTTATACACTTCCTTTGCATGCTGAAAGAATTGATTCCTGAAGGACACTCTATTTTTTTTCTTCGGAATAATCGATGAGAACAGAGGACCTCAATTTCGATAGAAAGGTCTTCAAAGTGGAATAGCTCTCTCCCGATCTTTCATTCTGAATGGTCAGTGATGCTTTTTGATCATCATCAGCATGATGATTCTTCTCTTCAGAAATGACTTGCTCCCCTTCTGTCTTTTTCTCTTCCCGATGCCCGTGCTCGGTTTCATTATTTCTCGAGTTTGGCCTCGAAGTTAATGTTGAGGTGGCAGCAACATTAGGATTGGAGGTTGATACTTTTGAATGAGTGCTCTTACTCGTGGTGGTCGAGGTTTTTGATAAGGAACTCGCGGATCGTTGTTCGGTCATTTAAGAAATTTTTTTTGGGGGTCTGGGATCGATCCCGCCACTGCGATTTACAATTTAGATCATGGTGATTGCTTAAAGTTGAAAGCAAGTTCCTCTTTTCCTTTATCAATGTTGTTGTATACGCGTGATCATTGCCTTGTGTTCCTTCCGACTCATCATCACATCGAATCAAAGCTCTCTCTGGTGCGCCGATTGCAAGAAAAAAAAAAAACAACAGCGCTCGTCTCTTCCCGCCTTTTATAAACAGAGATTCATCATTTGAGCTTCTGCTGCAATTCATAAACCCGAGCCTTGCTGAGAAACTCTATCATCAATTATCATTTATCAATATACAAAATGCAATCAAATCCATCCATGGCATCCAACGTCGAAGAAGTGTTATTACAGGGTCTTTCCGATCATTATAAACATGTCGTGGAAAGTTACCTCAAATTTACCCATCATAAAACCGAGCTGCACTTGAGAGAGGTGTCCAAGGTCATTCAGGAAGTAAAGGACAGTCGATTACTCGATAATCAATACAGTTTGTTGGAAGTGAAGAACATTATTGATGCTTTGGAGACTGTTCTCAAGTCAACAATCAAGTCCGAGACTCAATACTCCAATCATACCTCTCTGGAATTATTGAGACAAGTTTTTAAGGAAGCCGATGAGGCTGGTTTCAAATTGAAGGTGGATATTTCAAGTATTGAGAATGAGTAAGTACTTGCTGAGTATGCTCTTTTTTCCAACTCCAATCTATTCCTTGATTGCTGTTGTATGTAATCAACATTTGCATGAACCTCGGATTCACAGAGAAACTTTACAAGAAATTGCCAAAATGGAAAATAACATGTTTCCAAAGAGTGTGGGAGGAAACAAACTTCCATCGCTCAAAACAAATTCAGAAGATATTCTCAAATTGAAAAAAGAAAATGATTCCATGAGAGAGCAATTGACAACTCTTCAAAAGTCATACAAGGAAATGATGCAAGAGAAGACAGAAATTACAAATCAATACAACGCTGTCAGTGACGAGCTCAAAAAGTTGAAAAACAAGTTACAAGGCGCTCATGATCCAAATGACGAGAAGGAGCTTGAAGAGTTAAGAAATAAGGTTGCCCACTTAAATTCTATTATCAAATCTCAAAATGAAGAACTTGAAAAAACACAACTGAAAGCCACTCAAAATGAACAAAAAGTATTACAATTAGAACATGAAAAGGAGGCCATCAAAAAGGATCTTGTCACTGCCCAAAATGAGCTCACCCTCAAAGTCAATCAAACTTCCCAATTCCAAAACATGATGACCATTGTAAAGAATAAGAATGAAGAGCTCAAGGAACTTAGAGACAAACTCAAGTTGTTGGATCCAAATTTCCAAATGAAAGAATAGAAGTGAATTAAATTTCAAATATATAGCTCAGCTCAAAAATTGTGACTAATAAATTAATCATTGCGTACTTTTAGCGAAGAAGGCACTTTCAATTCACAATCACTAGTTTGTAGAAGGCTGTGGTTGACCAATGTCGTTCATCACTATTAGGTCATCAAAAGGTTCTCTAATCTCAGATCCGTGGTGTGCAAATTCAAGACCTCTAAGACGTCTGTATCCAATTGGAAGAAGTTTCACATCACGCTTCTCCAACAAATGGTTCTCTGTAACAAAAATATTTGGAATGAATGCATTCCTTCATTTGCAATGCCATATACTTACTTAAATAAAGTTGCGGATGAAATCCCAAGGTAATACTTGCCAACTTTTCTGCCTTCAGCAAGAGTGAGGAGTATGTCCTCATGACTTTTATAGATCCAAAACCAATCTCATCATTGACTCCTTCTCCAGAGTACAGTTGTGAGGTATAAAAAGTGTTAGGATCCATTGTGAAATTGACCAAGTCAATTCGTGTTTCAAGCATGACTTCAGGGCTTAATCGAAATACAATGTCATAATAGGAGGTTGTTGTCAAGTTGTTTTTGGCAACCATTTTAGAATCATGTTGTTCCATATACGAAAAAGCCTCTCTAATTTGCGACCTGGAATAAAACCAATGACTGCAAGAATCGTGTGAGGCGTATTTCTTGCATTCCTCTAAAAACACAGAAAAATTCGGATATTGATGTTCCAGTCGTTTCATGATTTCCTCTTGGTCATATTTTTCAAGGTTGGCCTTGACGAGGTGTTTTAGGAAAGGTTGAATTTGTTCAAAATAATCTTTTTCTCCATGATGCCTATAGAACATGTTAATAAATAAATCTGGAAATTCGTTGTGTGCAAGAAACCAATTTCTCATGAAATTAAATGCTTCAGTGGCACACATGGGTTGTGGTGTTGAACATCAATCAAAGACATTTTCCGAAAGAAATTATGGAACAATTCCGATTGTTTCTCAATATTGAGAGTAAATTGTACGGTGATTGCAAACATACCTCCACCAAACCATCGTATATCTCCAGTCCATAGCACAGCAATTCTATTTTTCTCTTCTTCAAGATTGAATTATTTTCATCGTCATCATTATCACAAGGAATTGAAGACGGGAAATTATTGAGTAAATCAACATTTCGTGTCATGGTTGACCGATAATTGGCAATCATCAAGAATGAAGTGACAAAAGCTATGACACACAGAAATATTACAGAAAATTTTCTGTCATTGTTTGATGGTTGGCATCTGTCTCGATTCGAGAAGGAATCCGATGTGACACCTACCTTGCATACATGGACTTGTCGTTCATTTTAGAAATTTTTTTTATTTTTTCAAAAAATCAACAAATGGTAAATATGCAACTCTGAATGTCAAATGTTGTTGAGTGACACGATGATCATCACAAACTTTGTGTTTTTTGATAACAATTAATTTGGCAAGTCCAAAAAACTGTCGGAACAAGATATTAATATTTACAGAAATATGTTTGAAAAGATTGATTCAGATAAAAGTGGAACGATCGATCGGCTTGAATTATTCACTGTCATGAAAGAACTCACTGATGGAAAGATCACAGAAAATGATGTCGATCAAATGATGAAAGGTACGTATTTTGGACTGAATTTATTTCGAAATCATCATTCCGAGCTCATAATGTCACCACCATTCGTTACTGATCTTTTTCAACAGATGCCGATATGGATGGAGATGGTAGAATTGACTTTGAGGAGGTAGGTATTAAATGCAATTATTATATGAGACATTGGCAAGCATTTCTTTTTGTGTAATCAAATGATCTAGTTTGTCAAACAGATGGAAAAGTTTTAGAGCATCTTTTCCTGGTGGAACCTATCTCTCTTGTATTGTATTAATAATAATTGCATATGACACATTATTCAGAAACGTTGTGTGTCATTTGTTGACAACAAATAAACCAACACCCATTGGAGTGTTCATCAAACACTTTGACATCATGAGAAATGGAGCGAATATCCAAATTGTTTGGGTCGGATGATAAATATTGATAGACACAACCCCAAAAAACGTTGACATTTCAACAAAAACAAAAAATGTCACAAGAACAAAAGAGAAGAGAGCTACAACAGAAAGAGCAACGAGCCTCAAGTGAAGAAATTCAAACACTGAAAACTCTTTTTGATAAATTCGATTCCAATCACGATGGAAGATTGGATAAGAATGAATTGAAAGATTTGATGAAAAGTATGGATGAAATTATGAGTAATGAAGACATTGAGGAAATGATCAAACAAGCCGATTGGGATGAAGATGGACTCATCAATTTTGAAGAATTTAAATATCAAATGTTGGATTAGATTTGTATGATTTCTAAAATCCGATGATATGCAGCTATCATCAGCAATAGGATTACAAAAATTATCTCGTTAAAATAAATTATCATCAGCCGATCACTCTGAATGATTATTATCGGTATATTGATATTTAAACATTGAAACTCCATGTATTGGCATGATTAAATTAATACAACCATACAAAAGTTGATCAGAGGCATTTCTCTACTGCGGTATCTCTCATCATTCCGAATAATGTGTTATCGTTATGAAGAACCAACAACACCCATCACCAAAGTCCTGATGATGCAACGCGATGTTGATGTGGAACAACCCTTCCCTCCATTTTCTTCTTACAAATTCGAGTAACGAACAGGAGTGGCGGGAATCCTTGATTAAGAGTTCCCAACAAAAAACAAATATCTCGAGTCAAGCTCAAGGGCATCTGAAATATAATTATTTTCTCTCTCTCGGAAGAAGAAGGAACCACAACGCAAACGAGATAATGATGATAAATCCCAACGATGCATCAAGCTTTGCAGGAAGAACACCAAAATTTGTGGTTGAGGTGTTGTACAACTTCTTTCCGTCCGATAAGCAACATTTAACCCTTACTCAATATGAAAAGGTGAAGGTCATTGAGACTCATGAAAGTAATTGGTGGATCGGAGAGAGAGCAAATGGAGAAGTAGGATTGTTTCCAGCAAATTATGTGAGGAGAGTGGTAAGTTGAGATGAAACCACCAAATGCAGTCGCTCATTATCTTCATTTTGATGATGAAATTTCTGAAACAACAAATAATTACTTTGTTGTTGCTGAATTTGGCGTCTTCTTTTTTTTTCTATCAAAACAATACCTGCAGCAAGATATTGCGGAAGAAAGTCCAAGACCTAAGGAAAAAACGTTCCAAAAACCTGTCTCTTATGATCCGAATAAGAGTAAAAAATCAAAGGAAGAACAATTACAAAAAAGAAAACAAATTGCCAGTCAATTAGGTTTGGGTGGCTTGGATCTTGACGACTTACTTTCCGAAGACGACGATGACGACGATATCTTAATGTCATCAGAAGATGAGCAAGAAAACCCCAACACCACGCTCACAAAACAATCCTCTACTGCTTCGTTAAAAACACAACCTCCTCTTCCTTCTCAACAACAACAGGTCACTACAGGCAATATGCAAAATGCGACTGGAAAATTTGTCACCGAAGAGGCCTATGAAAAGAAAAAGAAAGAATTGCAAGAGGCTCTCCAAAAACAATTAGAAGACCAAAAAAACAAAAACCAGACAAGCAGAAGAAATTCAAAAACTTAAGGAAGAACTTTCAAAAGCCAAAGCCGAAGTGGAGGAAGCGAGAAAAGTGACCACTCCAAGAACAACACCACGAGGCGCAAATGCTGTCGGAAGTCAATCCATAGACCTAGAAAAGAAACAAAAAGAGCTCGAGCGAGACTTTGAAAAAAAGAAAAAAGAACTGGAAAAAGAATATGAAAAGAAACAAAGAGAATCAGAACAAGAGCTTGAAAAAAAGAAAAAAGAGATGGAGAAGGAGCTCGAGAAACAAGCAGAAAAAAAGGCAAAGGAATCGGAAAAACAAAACTCAGCTAACTCTGAAATGCAAAAAACAATCGAAAAACTGAAACAAAAGAATTCGCAACTCGAAGAAAAGGTTGTCACTTTGGACAAGAGCATTGCCGATATGAAGCAAAAGCACTCGAAAGAGTTGAAAGAGGCTGCAGACAAGCTAAAGGAACAAAAGGAGGGCTCCTTGAAACATGCTCAATTGAAGATAGTGAGAATGAAAAAACAAATTCAAGCAGTTAAACTGGAAAATGATTACCTCAAGGTTGAGGCTCAAGAAATGCAAAAGAATTTCTTGCCTCACTCCACAAAATATCCTCAACAGCGCTCAAGAAGCTCATGGATGGTTATAAGGATCTTGAAGAAAAATACAAGAAGGAACTCAAAGAAAGGCGATTGCTGTACAATCAACTTCAAGACCTGAAAGGTAATATTAGAGTCAACTTGAGAGTGAGGCCATTACTTCCTGAAGATGGGCAAACTGAAAATTGCATTGAATGTATTGACGACAAGGAGGTGAAAATCTATGACAAGGAGGCTAAAAAGTCATACAAATTCGAGTTTGATAGTGTATTCGGAACAGATTCCACACAAGCTCAAGTATTTGAAGATGTCAAACCTTTGGCAACTTCTATTTTGGATGGATATAATGTTTGTATATTTGCCTATGGACAAACCGGTTCTGGTAAGGTATGTTCTCGAATAATGAATTGCATAGTTAGCGATCTAAATGCAAAAACTTCTGAATAACTACTCCAATTATGAAATCATTTTTGAACTGTTTACATATACTAGACTTTTACCATGGAAGGCCCTCCCAACAATCGAGGAGTCAATTACAACACTCTAGATGAGGTATTCTTTATGATTAAAGAGAGAAAAGGGGAATATAATTATGAAGTTGAAGTAGCGGTTATGGAAATTTATAACGAAAACCTTCATGATCTGCTCACAAAGGATAAGACCAAGCTTGAAATTATGCTCAGCAACAAGGTGACTATTCCAGGCCTGACTAGGATAAAAGTTAACTCCTCAGATGACGTAAGGAAAGTGCTCTCTCAAGGTTATGAAAACAGAGCGACTGGTAATAACAACATCAATGCTCATAGTTCCAGATCTCATTGCATCGTCAGCGTTTTTGTTGAAGGAGTGAATCTCTATACTCAGCAAAAACTGTCTGGAAAGCTCCACTTGATTGATTTGGCTGGAAGTGAAAGACTAAAGAGAACTGATGTTAAAGGTGACCGGTTGAAGGAGGCTCAAAACATCAACAAGAGTTTGAGCGCTTTGGGAGACGTTATTTCATCTCTTTCATCAAAGAAGAGCCACATTCCATACAGAAATTCTAAGCTTACTTCCCTGCTTCAAGATTCACTAGGCGGAAATTCCAAGATGCTCATGTTCGTGAATGTTAGCCCAACGGTTGAAAGCTGCCCAGAAACGCTGTGCTCCCTTGGGTTTGCTCAACGAGCACGAACAGTTGAATTAGGAAAAGCCCAAAAGAATATTGTTTCTCAAGGCACGACAACAACTGCTTCTTCCAGTAATAGCAATAACTAGGTAACTTGAAAGAGGCCTCAATATTTATTTTTTCAATTTTGGTCAAATTAACTTATTTTGCTCGCTCATAATAATCGATGTACACTCCTTGTCAATGCAATCGTGAATTAAGTCCATCCACTCTGAAACCTCTTGCATTTCTCGAAACCGTATTGTCACGCTATATTGCTTTTGTTCGAAACTCCCTCTTATAACAGTTAGTAAGTAAGGGTTCGACTCATAATTTTTAACACACACAAGAGGTAACCGTTGTATATTAATTTCGTCCAGATAAAAGACTACTTTTTTAACACTGTCATATATGAGTTGAATTCATTTGAATTAAGATCGAATTATTCAAAATTATAAATCTACTTACCACAACCATCGATACTTTCGAGTGTATTTTATAATGAGCATATCATTGAAGAGAAATAATCGACATGGAGTCACAGCTCCACTCTCTCTCATCTTCTCCGCAAGACAACTCTTTATCAGATACCTCTTGGCAGTCACCAACCCAATCATCTCTAAAGATTCTGCAATTTCTGTCATTTGAGATAAATCAATTTTTGGATGAGTCGAGGAGCGAATGTATTCTTGAATTTTGGAAAACTTCTCAATCACCATCGAAAGAATCTCCATATCTAAGGAGGAGCTTTTCTCTGCCGCTTGCTTTAAATTCTGCAAAATTTGGACTGCCCTTTCAATATACTCTAAGGGAAATTTAAAAAAGGCATCCACTCGCCACAGAGAACCCTTGAGTGAGTACAAGTGCTTCTCACTTCGTCTCACATATTCTTGAAATTCTTCGTTACTCTTCAATTCCTTCTTTAGGATTTGTAACAAGGAAGGAAGATGCTCAGCGTAATTTTTAAAAATTCTCAATTTGTGAACATGATTGGACAGAACACTCAAAAACTGTTCATACAAACTATTGGAAGGGTTGTTTGAGGATGAATGACATGTTGTTGGAGTCTCATTCATTTGTTGTAAATTGAGAGATTTGTTTTCTTGTTGTTGGTGAGGATGATTCAAAAAGTTGTCAAATTCTTGATAAATTTGAGCATTCAATTTCATAATGACTAACAAATGATCCAAGGCCAACAAATTGGGAAAACACGAAATCTCTCTCTTCCTGAAACATTCATGAATGAGTGGAAGAAAATATCGATTCAAACATTTCAATACCAATGCAAATTCCTTCTCCAAACTCACAAACTCTCTAACATGTTCCAACAATTGATCCTCTCCCAAGTGATTCGATGCTAACGCCTGCTTCATCTTGGTCACCAATCGAATGGGTTTGGGAGGTGGAAGAGGTGTATGGAGAGATTGTTGTGTACCAATTGTGGATGACAGGGAGGAAGTAGTGCCAGGTGAGGGAGCTGTGGAGGTACTACTACTTGTCATGGGTAATAATGAGTGATTGTTTGACTTGTTGGCAGAAGTAGTAGTGGTGGTGCTGGTGGTGGTGCTGTTGTTGATCGTGGCTTTGGAAGAACCTGTTTGATCACCACTTCGAGATGAAACTTTAAAATCATGTTTAAAACAAGAGCGACCTGAAGTCGTTGAGAAAGGAGTTGAATTTCCAATACTAGCTTCCGAGATGTTTTTGAGAGTTTCCAAGTCATTGTGTAAAATTTGAGAGAGTTGTTGTTCCTTTTGCTTCCAAATTTGTTGTTCTAACATTAAGAGCCTATTTCTTTCTTTTTCCAATTTGAGTAATTTGGTCAATTCCTCAATCACATGTATGGAGTCACTTCCAACATTGTGACTTTCCAAAGCACTACTCGTTGGCGTTGAAACCACCGCGGTGGTACAGGAAGAGCAGCTGCCTTCCATCGCCTGGAAAGAGATGGTCATATTGGTGGTGTTCGAGGAAGAAGTTTCTTCTCGGCCACCAATAGGAGATGAAGAATGACAATATTGAGTGGAGAGGTTTTGATTGTTATATCGGCTGGTTTGGTTATTCACATTGCTTGTCGAAGGAGGAGAAGTGGTCCCTGAACATGAATGGCTCGATGAATGTACGCATGAGTTGGACCATTCATTAATTCCTTTCGGGGGGAGATGGTTGTTGGGACAATGAATTCATGATGGTCCTCTGAGATTTCACTTCGAAAACCTAACACAAGGAGGTTGTTAGGGAGATGTGAATAAATATTCTTTTGTTTTGTTGGAATTTTAAAGTCGGTTGAGTGTTGAATTTTAAATATTTTTGTAAACATTTTCAAATTGTTTCGATTACCTTTTGAGAGTCCATTCTCAGCTGAGAATGGGAAAAATTATGCCACTTTCATTCAAACTTCGTACCTTATTGATGAATTACCCAATGAAGGAGAATTAAAACGACCATGTGACTATATTCATAACATTCCTTATGGAGTGACCTCAATGGTACTATGGATCTTAAAAGGTGATGAAATATAGAGTTGCCAAAGAAAAATGTCGTTCGTATTGTTTTTCACCATTCTAAATTTCTTGTTCAATATGGCACTTTAAAACTTTTGGAGTTATCAGTGTATGACCTTATCAGATATAGATCATGGGACATAAATAATTATTGTTGTTATATTGAAATTGAGTGTATTTCGTACGTAATAAAAAACTTAAAGTCAAATGAGACAATAGTACGGCAGCATTCTTCAGACCTTTACAAAAGTATTGTTCCGTGAACGAATCTGTGAGAAAATTCTGTAAATGATTAAGGTTTTTCAGCAAGCAATTGTTCAATCCAAACATTCATTTGATCTGGCTCAACATCTCTTCCAAATCTTGCCACCACTTGACCTTTTCTATTCACTAAAAACTTGGTAAACATTTGAATGACAGAAACATCCTCTCCTTCAAATTGTTCGGGATGTCTTGCAATTTTCTTTTCCAATTCCTCAGCTTTTTCTTTCAAGAAAGCAAACACTTCATGTTCATTAATAGTGTTCAAATGAATTGGTGACATGACCTTGAACGTATCATGAATCACTTGCTTAATATCCTCTTGAGCCTCTTTGGGTTGACGCAAAATGGAATCGACATTGTATTGTGGAGGAGTATGCTCGTGAGTGACCTCCTTCTCCGTCGAAGGGAATGCCAAAATATTCAAATCTTTTTTTCCATATTTTTCATACAACAGACGTAATTCCATCAATTGTTTAAATTCCATCGGATGAGTAACCACACCCTTGCTCATTCTAATCAATTCATCTTCATTGATATTCACAATCAGACAGACCTTTTTTTTAAACAATGAAAAATCAACCAAATTTCCATCAATGTCTTTTGCTTTTAAATCATAAAACGATGAAGCAACAACGGCATTGAATTTTGAACAAGTTGATGAAAAACATCGTGTGTGCTTCAATCCCATCATCGATGATGAAACAAGTAACTTGCTTGGGGAGGTGGCAGAGCACTGCTGCTTTTGGATCCATGAAATACCTTTTTTCATCATCATCTTCTTGATATTAAAATCATCCACAGGATACGCATCATTAGAGATCAGATCATCGGAAGAGAATCAAGATACAGAAAAAAGAGATTGATCCATCTTCATACTTACCTTGAGTTGGTGTTTGAAGGTAGAGAGGATTGGACACTCGGCTTAATGTTAATATAATTTTTTGTTGTTGTTCAGGTGGTGTGATGGTTGGGAATGGCTTTTGTGTCCTTATTAGTACTCGTTTAAAAGGGGCACTACCCGATTGACTTTTTGGGTCGTGAAATACTTTTGGAAAATTCAACCGCTTCATAAAAGATTAAAAAATGTTCATTCTTTGACGTACTGTACAACAACATATTAACTTGATAGTTGTATATTGTTCACAATATTCGTTCACCAAAATTTGATCATTTTCACAACCTGAGTTTCAAGAATATTCAAGTGGAAATTAAACAAAAAAATGTTTTTTTGGCATCTCGTGATCGGAGCAGTCATTCTCTTTCTCTTTCTTTACACGTGCGCCAAATTCCGAGTCTTTGAGAATCTTCTCTCTCGACACTTTGTGTTTGATCCCAAAGAATTGGATCAAATTGTGAAGAGAGCTGTCGACAAGTATCCCAATGATTATTCCGTTTCGTTGGGTCCTATTAAACATGGAAAAGAAGAAACATCTATTTGTGAAATTAAAGATTTGGCACGAAATTGGATACGAGACACTCCCGATATGGATGGAAAATTTATTGTTACACCAGAAAATCCAGATACCATCTTTGAGAGAAGATGTCAGTATATTTTGGAACAATTATGTGAAAAATATCCAAATTATTGTTCGGATGTGAAAACGATGGATTTCTTTGATAGCAAAAAGATGAAACAACAATGGATGTTTAATATGTGTGGTGTATGTAATATTTATTTGTTCAATATTTATTTCAAATTCAGGATTATTGTGTTCATCCAACATCTAATTATTATGGATCAACCAACAATGTGGAACGACATTACAAATGATTAGGGAGCTCTTGGACATATTTGTGTGTTCCACTTTAGCTTTACTGAGTATATTATTGTAAGTTTAGTGCATTCTTCAATAATTTCATAAATAATAATTGATATTATTGTTGAAATGATACTACACTGTGGTTGACATGTGGCACTCATAGCTCTATGGAACTCCAGTAGGCACAAGTGGATATTCTGGCAGATACATGATGGATGTTTATGATTACATTATTCAGGTTGGTTGAATTTTTCTCTTTGAATTTCACCTTGACATGAACTCTTTCAAAACTAATTCCTGCAAACAATATTCATGAATAGGGACATCACGAAACATACACTCCTGGAAATGTCAGAGGACTTTACTACAAACCAGGAGACATGACTTTCTTACCAAGATTTGAAGCATGTTCCTATAAATCAGCTCCTCATACCTACATGATGGAGTATGGAAGAGGTTTTCCTGGAGTTGTTTTGGGAGCCTGTTACCCTTTGGTGTCTGCTCTTTTTACGACTTTGGATTTCTATTCATTCTATCATCAAATTAAGGTAGTTTCAAAACACATGATGAAAAATTGGTTTTCGAATCGAAAGTTTTGAGCAACACATGATGATGCCTTCTCGGACAGTGTCACACCAATCTATATATTTTGTAGCTGATCTTTTTGGATTTATTTACTGAATAAATTACATATTTCTTGATGGTGGAGGGTTGGACAGCAGATATTCAACGGCAGCATTTACATTTCCATTGGTGGCCAAAAGAGCCTCAATATTTGATTGCTCGTCAAAAAAGCCCATTTCTTGGAGTTGAGAAAGCTGTGCGGCAAATCGCTCTCGTGGAGGTTGTGTATTGGCAGTTGTTGTTGGCATTTGTCCACCCATCCATGGATTGCCAAATAAGAATGGATTTGGCATTTGAGGGAAAGCATTTCCTCCAGTTGTCGACGAAGTATTAGTACCACCTTGAGATTGATTCATCATTCCTTGCAATTGCATGACATGTTGAATAAATTGGGGATTGCTCAACATGGTTCTCAACATTGGATTGCTTTGGGTCATTTGCTGTAACATTGGATTTGAGTTGATGAGCTGATCTAACATTTGTGGATCGGAAAGCATTTCTGTCATCATTCTTTGCATGAAAGGATTGTTCATCATTTGTTGAACTTGTTGTGGGTTCATTCCGCCCATGTTTGGGAATCCCATTCCTCCCATGCCACCAAACATGTTTGCAAATGGGTTCGCATTTGTTGTATTGCCTGTGTTTCCAGTTGACGATGTGTTGGAAGAAGGTGGTGGTGTTGTTGTTGTTGCTGCTGTTCCTGTTGAATTATTTCCCCACATGTTGAATGGTTGTCCAGGTGGTACAGAAGTAGTGTTTGACGTTGTTGGTTGCTCTGGTGTAGTTGTTGTTCCTCTAAACATTTCAGTTGTGGCTTCGTGTAAAGGTTCTTGAATGTCGCTGTACATTCTTCTAAGAGCGTCAAAACCTCCTGGAAGATTTTCAATATTACTCATGGCTAAATCAGTGTTTCTCATCATTTCTCTCATGAGCTCTGGATTTCTTGCCATTTCCATTGCTCTTCTGATCATTTCAGGATCTTGAAGCATTCTACCAACTTCAGGATTATTTCTCATAATTTGTTGCATTTGAGGATTCGAATTCATCATTTCACGAATGAAATCTGGATTGTTGAGCATACTTTGCACGAAAGGATTATTCATCATTTGTTGCATCATGTTAGGATCTACATTTGGAAATCCACCTGCTCCGAACATGTTGTTGTTATTATCTCCACCAAAACCACCTAAATTTCCAAACAAACTGAATGGATTTTGTTGTTGATTGGGGGCGGTTTGTGAGGTGGTGTTATTAGTGGTTGTTGTGCTAGTGGTAGTAGAGGATGGTGGTACATTTGACGAAGTGGTGGTTGATGGTGGTGGAGTGGTTGTTGTTGATGTTGCCGATGGAGTGGTTGTTGAAGAAGTGGTAGTAGCAGCACCCGATGGTTTTCCTCTTACCAAATGAATGGTAAGCCCCTCTTCAACGCCATAACTCTTCAAAGTGGCTTGATCCTTGAGTACTTTTCCTCTATAGATTAAACGTTGATCGGAGGCCGGAATATTGGAATGACTCGCAACTACTTGTTTAAATTCTTCAACTGTATTGTCGAGATCCACGTTATCAATAGAGAATGTATCTCCGTTACTACATCTGATGGTTACTTTCATTTTCAATTTTCTAAATCAGAGAGAACGATGAAGGATTAAGAGATTTGACAACAAAATGGTTAAGATAATGATGATGAAATAAAACACAATCAATAGCAATTAATAATTATTTGACCGAACACAAGATACGTGATGATTGAACAATTAACAGTTATCCTCCTCTCTCAAGCAGAATCGGAATAGAAACCAACCTTATAACGGAACTTGGAACCGGTTTTGATTTTTTTTTAAATTTTTTAAATCTATTTTTGATCTCGAGTTTCCACCATAGATTTTTGGCTGTCTTGTCATCCTTTGGCTAAAAATTGTTAAATAGATTCTGTGAGGCTTAATATTCGTTGAAGGGTCGTTATCTTGTGGTTGGTCATTAAATATAAATTTAAGCGAATACGTTTATTTGTTTTTTGGATTCCTTGAAAGTAGCGGAGAGGTAAATAAGGGATGACTGACACCTCAATAACCATCTCAATTCGAATCATCTCTCATCCTCCATCGTGTCTCTTTCAATTTCGATATTATCTATTGGCTCATAAACTTCAATAATATCTTCAGAATACCATTGTTCAGGTCTTATAGTTTTTGGACCCGAGTTGAACATGACAATTTTTTCCATTTCTTTCACACAATCCGAAAGTTCTTCAACGTGTCGAACAATAAGGTCTGAACTTTTGCAAGTTGCATTGAGCTGCTTCTTCTTTTCACTCATGTCATTGGTTTTAATGAATTCTTGAGAGGAACATTTTTCCAATTCAACAAGCTCCTCAAGAAGTTGCATTGCTCTCTCGAGCGCCGAACATTCATGAACTGAATTGAAAAAATCAAGAAAGAAGTTCAACTGTTTTCTTCTCACTTCAATGACATTCTTGAGATAGAACTTCATTTCTTCAAATTCAAATATTTTCATATTCAAATTTCCCAAAAGGTCAATGAGTTTTTGTTGATCTTGTTCTGAATAAAAACTTTTGAACATGCACATCTGAACGATAATGTGCATCATTTCATCGATGAGAGGCTTCATTTGAGGCTGATTGCAATATAACTGGAACCATTGATGGATCTTTTTGAAATATTGTTCTGCTTTGATGTGAATGTGATTCTTCAACTTGCATTTCCAATCAATCAATGAAATTGGTTGAAAAGTAATGCTCTCATTAGAAGGTAACTTCTCGAAGGAAGTGGTGAAACTTTGACAAGGAAATGACAACCTCAATTCATACAAGAGACCATGCAAAAACATGGGCCATGCATTATCAGAGTGTAAGATGGTGATTTTACACAACTCATTTGGCTCCAACAAGAGCGTTCCATCCAAATAAGACGAATCGCTTTCCTTCGTGTTTGCTGCAGAAGTGTTAAGTATGATGGTTTCTGGCAATGTGAGATGTTTGAGATTTGGAAATGCAGTACAAATGGCCTTAATTAAGGTTGGTAATGGTAAAGATGTACTCAAGCCATAGACGGTAAGGGAAGAGACATGAGGCAATGGATTTTTTACAGCTGTTTTCAATGAAGTCCCATTCAAAAGGTACAGTCCTAAATTCGTGACAGTACTTGGCATGAATAGAATAGAATCCAAATCATTCACAGTCAGTGAAGTAAGTTCTGACATGTGGTTCACGTTCAGTTTAGGAATCTCCATTATTTCAAGAGAGTTTCTGTTCAATTTAGAACGCCGCAAAATCCCGAAATCACACAAATGCAGTGTTTTTAACTGTTTTCCAAAAGGGAACTTTACCTACAAATTAAACTCCTCTTCATTCATTTCACCCTTAAATGCCAACGATTCGATAGTGGGAGTTTTCTCAACAATGGAAAGCATATTTGAAGAGTCACGGAATACCAAAGTTCTAATGCCTTGTGATTTTACCTTCACGGGGCATTGATTCTCTTTCTGAATGAGTTGACATTTTTCAAAAGTTAGAGAATGGGTCTTCGAAAAAATGTCTGAAAACCAAACCGCCCTCGGCGATGAAGACACTAATCACCTTCGCCATCACGCCTCTATCAAAGAGGTCGCTATTCGCCCGCATACTGCAAACAAATCTCTTTCTGCTCAAAAATCGGCACATGATAAATGGAGAGAAGAAATGGAAAATGAAATTCTAGAGGCTCCGTCTTCCGTCAATATAGCCAATTTGTCGGAAATACAACCTAGCCCACCCAGCATATACAACTCCCCAATGTTGTCGCAGCCAGAGGTCTCTAATATTACTACAACCTCTGGAGTCTCAGTTTTTAATACCTCAGCCATGACCGATGACCATTCTACTAAATTGAAGCGACATCATAAGCTCTTCAGAGTGGTAGCCTTTACTACCAACTCTGTCGAAGAAGTCCTTGCAACCGTCGCAATGAATGCCGATACGTTGTACGGTAGTAGAGTTGTCAGTGAATTAGATTGTATTATCTTCTTCTTCAAGTCGCGCAAATTGGCAAACCAAGCAATATCTGCTGGTGCTAAGTCCAAGCTCACTATGATACCTCAAACCGTCAAAACATCATTCCGTTATAAGGTCGACAAGGATTTAGACAAGACTAATATGCATTCTATTATCTCAACCCTTGGTTCTTCTATCAACAATATCAATTTTAGCAAGATGGATGATCAGGAATTTTGGGCTATTGGTACTAATATTGAGTTACCTGCCAATCATTTGAAGAAATTTAAGCTTTCCAAAATGAGAACAGATATCTCTCGCTTCCGTATTGCCTTTAATGGTAAAGAAAAAGATCTTCCTAAACTCAAGGGTGCCATTAGTTCCCAATGGAAAGTCAAGATTGAGAGTATCGAGTTGGCTAAGAAGATGGCTGTTGTTGGTATTAAAAAGATCAAATTACCAATAACATTACCAAGTTCGTCCAAGTTGGTAATTATAGTTTCAGAAACCTCTCATTCTCTACTAGAGTTGCCAATTCTATCAGTCACAGAATGGAAGCTGTTGAAAAACAAATGTCTGAAATGTCATCAGCTCTCCAAAAATTGACAAAGGAAATGGTTGTCTGGTCTGGTAAAAAGGTCACGGAAGGCTTTAATAAGATCAACAAAGCTGTTGAAGAAATTAATCAAAAAATCAACGCTCTCTTAGGTACTACTACTCGCAACAAGGGTAAAAGTGGGCATAAGAAGGGCCGACATTCCCTTTAATGGACCCTCATTCTAAAAGAAACTCCTTCAATTTAGGTACTGCTAATTTTGGAGGAGTTGGCTGGGTAAAACAATCTCAATTACTTACCTTAGCCCGCAAATATGAACTGGATGTCCTTAATATCCAGGAAACTCATTTAAAATCCAGTACGAAAGACTATTGGAATATATGGTATTTCAGATCCTTCTTTCGTGGCTACTTAGTTTACAATTCCAACGCCACTGAAGGTGATAATGGAGCAGGAATTGCTACTATTATCAGACCGTCACCTTTTATTAAGGTACTCCAATTCGTCGAACATATTCAAGGCAGATTATCAGAAGTCATTTTGGAACATAAATACCTAGGTGTGGCTCGCATTTTCAATTGGTATGGCCCGGCTAACAAAAACAAACTAGAATTCATGAATAAGGCTCTCAATATTATCAACATTTCTACTCAAACAGCGGTCTTTCATGGTGAACGTATTGTCATATTGGGAGATTTGAATGCCAATACTAAAACATTCAATAAGGTATCTTATGCCGCCCATGAACGACTATTAATTGACCAATGTGACAAATTGAAATTCTTTGATGTTGTTCCTATTCCAAACACACCTTCGTTTTCTCAACGCAACAAATACTCTCATGGTTTTTCTCGCCCGGACCATATTATTACTTCCCACAATGATTATTCTGGTGTAGAAGATGTTCCTACTGCTTATTCTCACAAACTTTTAACTATCTCCTTCCCCAGTAATCCCATTTTAGACTTCCCAGAACAGTTCAACAAATATATTATCCATCCTAAAATTTTACAATCCAAGATGAAGGAAATTAATAACGATTTTGCTAAGGAAAACCCTGACACTCTTTTAGAAGCCCAAAATACCCTTGCTAAAATTGTGAAGAAATATGGTTCTCTTAGCACAAACAAGCCCTCATTGATCACTGATAATCGTAATGTCAGACAATTTCAGACTTTTATTTTCGATTTGAAACAATATCTCTATAAGCGTAAACATGTTTCTACTATCACCAGCCAATTTTTGAACAATAATTTTAGCCTCAACAATGTCAAGGCTAAATTAGAGGAAGCTAAAACCTCACTCAACAAGCTTATTGGATCTTTATTGGCTGACCGTAAACGGGTCTTTGTGAATAGAATTAACAATCTTAACTCTAAACAACCGTATTCCTATGCCTTCAGAAAAGAACTAGTCAGTCCTTCTATACTCAATGTAGTCCAAAGTAACCATAACTCGACAATTGTAGATCATTTTTCAGCCATGTTTAATACAGAACAAGAAGTGACTAAAACTCTCCCGGAAATCAAGAAAAACAATACTGTAGCCCAATGGAAATTCCATCATATCACTGCCAAAGAGTTGGATAAAGTTATTTCTAAGACAAAAAATTCTATGGCTGGCTATGATAACATTTCGGTGTCATTGTTGAAAATTCTAGACAACAATTCGCTCCAAATACTTGCAAAATGTATCAATCACACAATTGACAGTGAAATGGTTCCTAAAGAATTGGGTATCGGTATTCTACTCCCATTACCCAAAATCAACATGCCTTCAAAATTATCAGACTTTAGACCTATAGTTGTATTATCCGTGATCTATCGTCTATTTTCTTCTATTATCAACAAACAATTCATGAATGTCCTTGAAGAGGCTAATTTAATCCACACTGCGCAACGAGGATTCATGAAAAAAGGTTCAACATTAGAACACCTTATCAGTCTTCGGACTGCCTTTGCATACAAATATCAGCACAAACAAGAAGTATTTGCTATGGCTCTGGATATCAAAAATGCTTATGGATCAGTAATCCATAAAAGATTTATCAGCATTCTCAAGAAACATGGTTTCCATAGCTCTGTCATTAATCTCTTGACATCCATGATCTCCAATAGCGTTATGAAAGTACTAGTCAACGGATTTCTATCCTCCCCTTTCGATGCGAATGTTGGAGTTCCGCAAGGCGATCCTTCAAGCCCGGCATGGTTTAATCTTTATATTAACTCCTCAACTAACATACAAGAAAAGCTTAAAGGAGTTCAAATATTTAATATTACCATCCTTTTATTATTATATGCCGATGATATTTTATTGATAGCTAATACTAAGATCGAAATGAATTCCTCTCTAAAAAGCCTCGGCCGTGAATTAAAGAAAATAGGACTCGCTTTAGCTCCCAAGAAATGCAAACTCTTAGCTATTACAGCCAAAGCCAAACTATCTAAGGCCCTAGTCACTATTGGACAGGATATAATTGCCACATCTTCTTCTATTGAATATCTTGGGGGTATATGTACCTTTAAGAATGATTTTTCTTGGTCCTCTGATAATCCAATCAACAAAATCTCGAATCAACTGGCATCAGCTAAAACTTCTAATCTATATCTCAACAGCATCACCACTACATTAATGTCCAAAATCATATCTTTGCCTAGATATGCCTGTAGTTTCAATGGAATCAATAAGAATTCTCTTGACAAAGCAGATATTATGGTTGCTAATTTTGTCAGAAAGGCTATTGGATTAGATTACACATTATCAAAATCAGTCATTTTTAATTGCAAACAAATTGGGGGCCTTGGTATTACTCGCCCCTCTACTTTATTCTTCATTGAACCTATTTGCACAGCAGTTAGATTATTCAACTCCTCCTCCACCATCACCAAAAATATTGCTTTGGCTGCTTGGAATGATCTTACCTTTAACGAACCATTTTGGAACCACGTGAAAAATATCGCGGCTCAAAATAATTGGTCTCTCCATTACATTGATGAACGGTATTCATTTGTCAATGAATACGAAACCCCTGTCGACCCTAGAACTGAATTACTAAACAACGATAGATCAACCATGAGCATCTCAGGCCTTGGAATCTTAGACCATAATAGAACCTGGCATCCATGTACCATCTCCTTTTGGAGCAATTATTCACTCAAACCCTTCCAACAACGACTATTATTTGCTCACCTACACAAAGCAGAAATCCTTAGAAATTTCGGAAAAGATTACCCTAATTGCCACATTTGCAATACCAAAGCCAACTGGGAACATGTATTCACCTCATGCACCATGTGTGGTCCGGAAATCAAATCATTATACACAAAATGGGACAACAGTTCCCTCAAATTCAATGCCCCTCTTATCAGACTTCCCTCAAACCATTCTCTCTCTTGTATTCCAATGGATTGGAATGGTAGTATCAAAGACGAACCTCTTCAACAATTAGACTTATCTCCCCCAGCTTTGACTGATTGGCTAAATGAAATATATCTCTCATTCGCTGCCTATGTTGGCAGTTGTTACAAAAACGCCACTTGGAACAGTTCAACTGTACTCAAGAAGGCTAGAGGATATATAATTAAACCCAAAACTGCAAAATTTGCAACTGCTTGGGAAACATTTAGCAGTCAGCTTGGCGAACTCAACTCCAACAACATCTACACCTCACACCTACACACCCATTAGACACACTATCGTCGGACAATTGAGTACCTATAATTTGTTTATTTTTCAATAAACCCATTCCTGTATTTTTCAAAAGTTAGAGAATGAGAATTCATTCTCTAACTTTCATCATTTGTCATTTGCAACAGGTCGAGAATTTGAAAGGCATTTCGTTGTTGAGAACGACCACACGAAGCGTTGATCGTATGATCCTGTTCCGTTGTCGTACTGCAGCTTTTTGCAGCAGCTGCAACTCACAAAATTCCCTTTCAGCCTTCTAAAAAAGCTGCGTCTGTATTTTGACGATGATCACCATCAGGAGTGCCAATACATGGCTCTGTCAGAGATGATTTTGATGTCATACAGGTGTTATTTGAATAATCGGCTAGTAACATCATGGGTTGATAGTTGCGAAATTATTGTTGTTTCTTCTTGTGGAGGTTTTTTTTGTGTTGGGTTTTTCATCGATGATCATGCGTCGTCTCTCGAATTCCAAGCAAGATTTTCATTGAGAATTCCCATCGCTAACTAATTTGAATTCAATGTGAAGTCCTTATTTGATAAAAATAGAAAAACTTATTTCTTCGCATTCATGTTGCAACAGAGTGAAGCCACATACCACCGTTCGAATCCTTTGGAGTTCGAAAACCTGGCAAGAATCAGAGCGCAATGTGAAAACCACTCCTCTTGCATTGGCTTTGTCTACTGCAAACCCCAAAGTCATACAAACAATTCCCTATAAGAAGGGCCTTTGAGTTGGCTTTCTGCGATACGAGTGGATGTACCTGTTCATGGATCCACTCCTGTCTATGCGTCTCTTCTCTTTTTAAATGAAAGATAACCTCACGATTAGCTGCTCAACCTCTGCCAGTCCATTCATGTGTGTTTTACGAATACTTTACGAATGGCACATGTCGTGTGTATCATGGTGTCAAGTTGTTAAACGAGACAACATTCGTTCTGTTCTTGTGTCCTCTGCCTCTATCCAAGTCAGTGACAGGCGCCTCAAATATAGAGACCTTCCTTAGACATGATGGGTCTCAATATGTCAATTACCGAAAAGACAGTGTGGTCTACCTCATTGTGGTGTTATCCATAATTATCCAAGCATCATTAAGCATTCAATTAACGATGGAGATGACAGTTTCTAACAGAGCGCACAAAATTCGTGTGGACAGTTGCAGATTGAATGAAAATAGCCATGAGGACGGCTATTGAATCAAAGCAAACGATCACGCTGTCGCAAGTTGAGATATGTCCATAAAAGTAGCCGAAAAATCTCTTCCATCATCCTTTGAAACGAGTCCTTGTGGAATTGTAGAACCATTTAAGAAATGTCCAAAATGTTCATGACCAACCGCACTGCATTAAAAAACACCCATACCGCTCAAAATGGTCTTGATGGATTCAACTCTAGAACATCCGAATGATGGTGAGAGGACTACTAATGCCGATATCCTATAAATTGAAATCATGGCCTCATAATCATCCAAAAATCATAAAAAACAACAACTCGAATCTACTCGTAGTCAATCCTTAATTCCAATAATAATCATGGGCAGCTGTGCAAGTGTAGTGTTGCATTCTTCCAACTCGCTACTTCTTAAGGGAACGGAAACATCAGAGAAAGTGGAGGTGGACTGGACGGCCTGTGAACTCTCTGATGGCCGTCATTCCCCATCTGTTGACTCTCATTCCTCTTCAAATAACAACATTGTGATGATGCAAGGACATGAAAAAACACTGGTGGATTCTCAAAGAGAGGAGGAGGAGATGGATTCCTCGAGTACAAATCAGACAGATCACACCATTTCTCATCACCAAGAAGACGATAATAACAACTGCTCTCTACTGAACAAAAAAAGAAATTCCTTAATGAAGCCAAACCCAGTCCATTATCGATCCATCCCTTTCATTATCGTTTCACAATCAACACAATCTCAACTCTCAATTCAAAATCGAGCTAAACCTTGCAATGCTTTTCTCTGCGTACCAGACGATATTAAATCGTTGTAATGTTTCCAACCAAGGTAGCTTTTCTCAATTACCTTTCCTTTTTGATGAACATATTAACTTATTACAAATTAGAATTTCTAATTTCCTCCTTCACCCGTGTCAATAATTTTCCTAGTAAATTCAATCCTTTCCAATTGTTAGGATGAGTTTCGATGGCATCCTGTTCTTTCAAGCCAATACCCCAAATGCAATCACTCGGTGAAGCTTCAGCCAAAATTTTGTCTCCGGTCTCCAATAATGCTTTTTTCAAGTGTTCATTCTGAGTGAATTTTGCAAGCAAATGTTTATAAACCAATTCTTCTCGATGTTGTTGCCAAACTTGTTCATCAAAATTTGAGACTAGTCTTCCCAAGTTTTTTGCAGTTGATGGACTTGTTGTTTGCAAAATTTGTAAAGCAATTTCATGATCATCAAACAATATGGCTTTCTCATACATCATTCCGATCTCTGTATTTTCAAATCTATTGCCCGATAGAGTATACGGAGCCGTATGCCAATTACTAAATGGTGATTTATCTTTCCAAAAGAAATGATACTTTTCTGAATTTCCGAATTTATCGTACGGTTTTTTCTTGATATTGGCTGTGAAAGAGGAGCCTTTGGATGAAGAACTCGATGATGACGATGAAGAAGAAGAAGAAACTTTTGAAGGCATTTTTCAGTGGAGAATATTCTGGAACAAAATGGAACAACCTAATTGATAGATTGTTGTTATGTTTTTTGTGAATCTTTAATTTTTGTTCTTTGAAATAATTTCTCTGACATGGAAATTCCAGTTGTTTTGAATATTTGGACTGAAAAACATGAAATTCCTTGTAATAAAGTTGTTCAACTAATTTTTTGCAATAGCAACAATAAAATTGAGTTGGGTGATAAACTGAAGTAATTCTGGCGTCTTTCCTTTAAATTATTCATTCCAAAGGTCGCTACGTTTACAATGTTGCCTAACCATTCACAAAAGCAGTCCTTTTACTGAATCAGATCATATACAGCATAATTGTCAACGTTCATTCACCCCATTGGGTTCAATGTTCTACGCGATTATTTCGTACAATCACCCCTAGAAAGAAATGTCTGAAAGGCCTTATTTGTGGTCTACTTTCACGATTGAAATAAATTGAAATAACAAGTGACAAATTGGTTACGAAATAGATCAATTTACAGCCCCACTTTTACCATAAGATTATCATCATTTGACAATTGTCATTTTGATTGCTGACAGATCCTGAGGGCATAAATTTAAAAGGCTTGTGTAAGATTATACAATTTGGATTCTCGTTTTTTTTATTTGTTTAGAATCAAGTGAAACATGTTGTCGTGTGATACGGCGAAACACCACTTTGAGACCTAATTTTGGAGATCTTGCGTTTTTGACGATCAAGAGAATAATTGTTACTTTTTTGAGAAACTTTTTCGGCTAAAGAATGAGAT